AAAGCTGGAAGTGGTGCGGTGACTCCAGAGGCAGAGCACTACTAGGCTGGAGCACAAAGAAGCTCTGGAACAGAGCCCAGGCAGAGTTCAAGCCCCACAACCAACAAAAAAGTAAAAAACAGGGCTGGAGGCATGGTTTGGTGATATTGTGCCAGGCTAGCAATTATAAGGCCCTCAGTTCAACCCCCACTACATCAAAACAACAAAAACAAAAAGTTTTGTGCATCAAGAGATACTTTGAGAGTGACAGAAAAAACAGAGAATGGAAGGAAGCACCAACAAAACAACTGATAAAGGATTAGTATTCAAAATATATAAAGAACTCCTACAACAAGTGACTCAATTTAAAACATTGGCAATGAATTTAGACATTTCTCCAAAGAACATATGCCAAAAGCACACAAAAAGATCCTAGGCATGGGGCTGGGAAGGTGGCTCAGTGGTAGAGCGCTTGCCTTGCATGCATGAGCCCGAGTTCGATTCCTCAGCACCACATAAGCAGAAAAAAAAAGCCAGAAGTGGCGCTGTGGCTCAAGTGGTAGGGTGCTGGCCTTGAGCTGAAGAGCTAAGGGACAGCGCCCAGGCCCAGAGTTCAGGCTCCACAACCAGCCTCCTGGTTCAAAGCCAGCCCAGGGAAGGAAAGACTGTGAGACTCCTATCTCCAATAAACCACTAGAAAATGGGAAGTGGCGCTGTAACTCAAGTGGTAGAGCGCTTGCCTTGAGCTGAAGAGTGCAGGGACAGCGCCCAAGCCAGAGTTCAAGTCCCATGACTGACAAAAAAAAAGTCTTAATATATTACAACCACATGATTGTCCTCGAGTTCAGTCCCCAGCATTGGCTGGGGGGTGGGGAGGGGGGCAATAGAATGTTTTCAAACAGTCCTTTACTATTCCTTGTAAACCCAGAAGCCACCCAGCAGGTGCCTACATGGGAGTAGAAGACGAACACGATGGCTCCCACTGCCAAGGGAGCCTGGGAGCCCCTGACCCCTGCCTGGGCTGGGCCAGGCCAGGCCTCTGAAGACTGCCCTCAGGTGCTTCTCCAGCAGAAAAGGTGCAGTGTCATGGACACTGCAGACTGAGTGTCTCTAAAAGATCTTCTCCCACCAGTATTGTGTTTGAGATTGAGGCTTCAAAACAAAACGCTTTAGCCAGGCATGGTGGTACACACCTGTAATTCCAACACTTGGGAGGCTGAGGCAGAGGACCAGGAGTTTAAGGCTAGCCTGAGGTACATAGATCCTTTCTCAAATACACCTATAAAGAAGATCAAACAGAGCACTTAAGAATTTCACTTAAGGGGCTGGGAAGGTGGCTCAGTAGTAGAGCGCCTGCCTCGCATGCGTGAGGCCCTGGGTTCGATTCCTCAGCACCACAAAAGCAGAAAAAAGCCAGAAGTGGTGCTGTGGCTCAAGTGGTAGAGTGCTAGCCTTGAGCTGAAGAGATGAGGGACAGCGCCCAGGCCTAGAGTTCAGACCCCACGACCAGACCCTCCTCCCCCCCAAAAAACAAAAAACTCTTTCATAAAAACAAGATAAAAATGCTACTGTGGGGACTGGGAATGTGGCTTGGTGGTAGAGTGCCTGCCTGGCATTCATAAAGTCCTGGGTTCAATTCTTCAGTACCTTAGAAACTGAAAAAGCTGGAAGTGGCTCAAGTGAACGAGCGCTAACCTTGAGCAAAAGAAGCCCAGGGGCAGTGCCCAGGCCGAGTTCAAGCCCCAGATCTGCTGGAAAAAAAAAAAAATGCTAGTGGGAAATTGGCCAGTATATCACATCCCAAGATCAGACTCTCCAGATCAGAAGTATGTTCTTTTTTTTTTGGGGGGGGGGGTCTGGTCGTGGGGCCTGAACTCTGGGCCTGGGCGCTGTCCCTCAGCTCTTCAGCTCAAGGCTAGCACTCTACCACTTGAGCCACAGCGCCACTTCCAGCTTTCTTCTTATGTGGTGCTGAGGAATCGAACCCAGGGCCTCGAGCATGCAAGGCAAGTGCTCTACCACTGAGCCACCTTCCCAGCCCCAGAAGTATGTTCTTATGTAGACGCTAGATCTAAGTACACCGGGACCTGATAAATGATATAAGACTCTGGGAAATGATATAAGACTCCAGGCATTCACACACAGTGAGACCAAAAGACACTCTTAGGAGAGGAACACAAAGGAGCAATGCCTGTGTGCAGCTGATCTTTCAAAATAATAGTTACAGAAATGAACTCCAGGAAATGGAAACAAGGTTTTTTTTTCTTTGTTGTTTTCATTTTATTTTTGTCTTGTTTGTTCCTTTATAGGTCTTTGGTGGGGGGCATAGAAATGGAGGGACAAGAGTAAACAAATAAAGCAGTGATACTCACTAGACATTTGAAAAATGAACTATGCAATTTGTGGGTGGGGATGGGAGGGAAAAACTGGAAAGGGATGACAGTCAAAAAAATGTGCTTTTTACCTGACTTACATAAACTGTAACTCCTCTGTCCACCACTTTTGTTTTTGTTTTTTTGTCGGTCGTGGGGCGCTGTCCCTCAGCCTGGGCGCTGTCCCTCAGCTCTTCAGCTCAAGGCGAGTGCTCTACCACTTGAGCTACAGCGCCACTTCCGGTTTTCTGGTGGTTTATTGGAGATAGGAGTCTCACGGTCTCTCCTGCCCGGGCTGGTTTTGAACCGCGATCCTCAGATCTCAGCCTCCTGAGTAGCTAGGATTACAGGCGTGAGCCACCAGCGCCCGGCTGTCCACCACTTTTATAATAACAATAAAGAAGAGAAAGTTTAAGTATCTTCCTTTGAGCCAGGCATCAATGGCTCAAATCCTAGCTACTTAAAAAGGCTGAGATCCAGGGAACCATGGTTCGCAGCCAGCCCAGGAAGAAGAGTTGGAAGCTTCATCTCCAAACCAATCAGCTTTTTTAAAGCTAGGCTGAAGGCATGGCTCAAATGGTAAAGTGCCAGCTGAGCAAGCAGGAGGCCGAGTTCAAACCCCAGTGCCAGCAAAACAGAAAAGTTAAAGTATTTTTCCTTGATTAAAATACCGCTGGAGGGGCTGGAGGTGGGGCTGAGCGCCTGCCGGTGAGGCCTGGACTTAAGCTCCGGCACACCACCACAGAGCGGAAGCCGCCGGATTCCCAGCGCTCTGACCTGGGAGGGGCCCTTCCCTCCCGAGATCCTTTTGTGTTTACGTGCACACACAAACCACTCTGCACTTGGGGATCCTCCTTCTAAAAACTGTGCACTCGCTGTCCAGGGGAACAGCTCTGACCAGGCGGCTGCCTCGGGGCTGGTGGCTGGCGCCTACCCTGGCAGCCACGCGGGAGCCCGGGGTGAGGCCTCCGCGGGAAGCCAGGCACTCTTACCTCCAATTTAACACCAAAAAGCTGGAAGTCTCGCTGTGGCTCAAGTGGCAGAGCGCCAGCCCTGAGCGGAAAAGCTAAGCAAAGCCGGGCGCCGGTGGCTCCCGCCTGTCATCCTAGCTACTCGGGAGGCTGATCTGAGGATCGCGGTTCAAAGCCAGCCCGGGCAGAAAAGTCCATGAGACTCTTATCTCCAATAAACCACTAGAAAACCGGAAGTGGCGTGTGGCTCAAGCGGTAGAGCGCCCGCCTTGAGCTGAAGAGCCAGGGACAGCGCCCAGACCGAGTTCAGGCCCCAGCAGAGACACATAAATAACGGGCAACCCAAGCCCACCGTGTTCTGCCTGCCTTAGCCTCGCTTGGCAAGCGTGGCGGGGCCGGGTCGGGCGGGTATGTGGGGCTGGGCGGGGGGCCGGGGGCAGAGTGCGGGGCTGGGCGGGGGGCCGGGGGCAGAGTGCGGGGCTGGGCGGGGGGCCGGGGGCAGAGTGCGGGGCGCAGCCGGGGCCGCGGGCAGACAGCGCGGGGCTGGGCGGGGCCGGGGGCAGAGCGCGGGGCGCAGCCGGGGCCGGGGGCCGAGTGCGGGGCTGGGCGGGGGGCCGGGCGCAGAGTGCAGGGCTGGGCGGGGGGCCGGGCGCAGAGTGCGGGGCGCAGCCGGGGCCGCGGGCAGAGCGCGGGGCGCAGCCGGGGCCGGGGGCAGAGAGCACGCGGGGCGCAGCCGGGGCCGCGGGCAGAGCGCGGGGCGCAGCCGGGGCCGGGGGCAGAGCGCTGGGCGCAGCCGGGGCCGCGGGCAGAGCGCGGGGCGCAGCCGGGGCCGGGGGCAGAGAGCACGCGGGGCGCAGCCGGGGCCGCGGGCAGAGCGCGGGGCGCAGCCGGGGCCGGGGGCAGAGAGCACGCGGGGCGCAGCCGGGGCCGGGGGCAGAGCGCGGGGCGCAGCCGGGGCCGGGGGCAGAGAGCACGCGGGGCGCAGCCGGGGCCGCGGGCAGAGCGCGGGGCGCAGCCGGGGCCGCGGGCAGAGTGCGGGGCTGGGCAGGGGGCCGCGGGCAGAGTGCGGGGCGCAGCCGGGGGGCCGGGAGCAGAGAGCGGGGCGCATCCGGGGCCGCGGGCAGAGTGCGGGGCTGGGCAGGGGGCCGCGGGCAGAGCGCGGGGCGCAGCCGGGCCGGGGGCCGCGGGCGTGGGGCGGGGCCGGGGGCAGAGCAGCCGGGGACACCGGGCGCAGCCGGCCCCGCCGCAGGCTCTCGGGCGCGCTTCCCGCCGGCAGACACGGGTCCCACCGGAGCCCCCGCGCCTCGTCCCCGTGGGGTCGCGGCCGCCGCCGCGCCGGGCCCGCTCCGACGGCGAGCCCCGCCGCGCCCGCCGCGCCGCGCCCGCCCCACGGCCCCCGCGGGGGAGCCGCCCTCTCCCACCCGCGGCGCCAAGATGGAGGCCGGAAGCGCCGCCGCCTTCGCGCGCCCGCCCGCCCGGCGCCCGCGCCCGCCCGCCCGCCTGACGCCGCCGCGCCTGACGCCGCCGCCGCCCCCGCGCGCCCGCCGCCCCTCCCCCGGCCTCCCCTCCCCCCGCCGTAACGTCCTGACGCTCCGCAGGGACCCCTGACTGGACGGCGGCGCGTGAGCGGCGCGAGAGGCCTCGCCGCGGGGGGCGCGGGCGCGCCCGCGCCGCTTACCTGGGGCCGCGCGGGCCTGCTCCGGCGCACGGCGGCGGCGGGGGTGGTGGCGGCGGGCGGCGGCGGCGGCCGCGGGCTTCGCTCCTTGTTGGGGATTCTTCGGCGGCGGCGGCGGCGGCGGCGGCACGGGCACGCGCTTCCTAGTGACGCAAGCGGCGAGGCCGCGCACGCACTGGCCAAACAGGCTGGGCGACTTATTTGGCGCTCCGCGCGGAAGCGGGCGGTGCCGTGAGATAAGGCCTGAGGAGTCCCAGCGCGCCTGCGCGGCGAGCGAGCCCTAGCGCCACCTTCTGCGGGCTCCGGGCGCGTTCCGCGGCGGGCGGGGACTCGCGGGCGCCCCGGCGGCCCGCGCCTGTCGTCCGAGCCGGGCCGCCGGCTGCCGGTAGCGCAGACAGGGCCTCCGCCCCCGCGAAGCTGCGGGAGCCGCGCCGCCTGAGCGCTGCCTTCCTGATGCGGGGCCGGGAGAGCGTCCTCGGGCCAGCGGCCCTGGGCGCCCGGAAGCCGGCCCGTCCCGCCGCGGGCGGGGCCCCTGCGGTGCCGAGGCCTCCGGGCCCGGCGTCCGAGCCCTCAGCATGGAGGGTCACCTCTCAGCCTGGAGGATCATCTCTCAGCATGGGGGCCATCTCTCAGCATGGGGGTCACCTCTCAGCATGGGGGTCAACTCTCAGCATGGAGGTCATCTCAGCATGGGGGGGTCACCTCAGCATGGAGATCATCTCAGCATGGGGGTCACCTCTCAGCATGGGGGTCACCTCTCAGCATGGGGGTCATCTCTCAGCATGGGGGGGTCATCTCTCAGCATGGGGGGGTCACCTCTCAGCATGGAGGTCATCTCAGCATGGGGGTCATCTCTCAGCATGGGGGTCATCTCTCAGCATGGGGGCCATCTCTCAGCATGGGGGGTCACCTCTCAGCATGGAGGTCATCTCAGCATGGGGGTCATCTCTCAGCATGGGGGTCACCTCTCAGCATGGAGGTCATCTCAGCATGGGGGTCATCTCTCAGCATGGGGGTCATCTCTCAGCATGGAGGGTCATCTCTCAGCATGGGGGTCATCTCAGCATGGGGGTCATCTCTCAGCATGGGGGTTACCTCTCAGCATGGAGGGTCATCTCTCAGCATGGGGGTCATCTCTCAGCATGGAGGGTCATCTCAACATGGGGGTCATCTCAGCATGGGGGGGTCACCTCTCAGCATGGGGGTCACCTCAGCATGGAGGGTCACCTCTCAGCATGGGGGTCACCTCTCAGCATGGAGGGTCACCTCTCAGCATGGGGGTCACCTCTCAGCATGGAGGGTCACCTCTCAGCATGGGGGGTCACCTCTCAGCATGGGGGGGTCACCTCTCAGCATGGGGGGGTCACCTAAGCATGGAGGTCATCTCAGCATGGGAGTCATCTCTCAGCATGGGGGTCATCTCTCAGCATGGGGGTCACCTCAGCATGGCGGTCATCTCTCAGCATGGAGGGTCATCTCTCAGTATGGGGGTCATCTCAGCATGGGGGGGTCACCTCTCAGCATGGGGGGGTCACCTCAGCATGGGGGGGTCACCTCTCAGCATGGAGGGTCACCTCTCAGCATGGGGGTCATCTCAGCATCGGGGGTCACCTCTCAGCATGGGGGGTCATCTCAGCATGGGGGTCACCTCTCAGCATGGGGGTCACCTCTCAGCATGGAGGGTCACCTCTCAGCATGGGGGTCACCTCAGCATGGAGGGTCACCTCTCAGCATGGGGGTCACCTCAGCATGGGGGTTCACCTCTCAGCATGGGGGTCACCTCAGCATGGAGGGTCACCTCTCAGCATGGGGGGTCATCTCAGCATGGGGGTCACCTCTCAGCTTGGGGAGTCACCTCTCAGCATGAGGGGTCACCTCTCAGCATGGGGGGTCACCTCAGCATGGGGGGGTCACCTCTCAGCATGGAGGGTCACCTCTCAGCATGGGGGTCATCTCAACATGGGGGTCACCTCAGCATGGGGGGGTTACCTCTCAGCTTGGGGGTCACCTCTCAGCATGGGGAGTCACCTCAGCATGGGGGTCACCTCTCAGCATGGGGGTTACCTCTCAGCATGGGGGTCACCTCAGCATGGGGAGTCACCTCTCAGCATGGAGAGTCACCTCAGCATGGGGGTCACCTCTCAGTATGGGGGGTCACCTCTCAGTATGGGAGGTCACCTCTCAGCATGGGGGTCACCTCAGCATGGGGGTCACCTCAGCATGGGGGTCACCTCAGCATGGGGGTCACCTCTCAGCATGGGGGGTCACCTCTCAGCATGGGGGTCACCTCTCAGCATGGGGGGTCATCTCAGCATGGGGGTCACCTCTCAGCATGGGGAGTCACCTCAGCATGGGGTCACCTCTCAGCATGGGGGGTCACCTCAGCATGGGGAGTCACCTCTCAGCATGGGGGGGTCACCTCTCAGGATGGAGGGTCACCTCAGCATGGGGGTCACCTCTTAGCATGGGGGGTCACCTCTCAGCATGGGGGTCACCTCTCAGCATGGGGGGTCACCTCTCAGCATGGGGGTCACCTCTCAACATGGGGGGTCACCTGTCAGCATGGGGGTCACCTCAGTATGGGGGGTCACCTCTCAGCATGGGGGGGTCACCTCTCAGTATGGGGGGTCACCTCTCAGCATGGGGGTCACCTCTCAGCATGAGGGGGTCACCTCAGCATGGGGTTCACCTCTCAGCATGGGGGTCACCTCTCAGTATGGGGGGGTCACCTCAGCATGAGGGGGTCACCTCTCAGCATGGGGTCACCTCTCAGCATGAGGGGGTCACCTCAGCATGGGGGTCACCTCTCAGCATGGGGTCACCTCTCAGCATGGGGGTCACCTCTCAGCATGGGGGGGTCACCTCAGCATGGGGGTCACCTCTCAGTATGGGGGGGTCACCTCAGCATGAGGGGGTCACCTCTCAGCATGGGGGGGTCACCTCAGCATGGGGGTCACCTCTCAGTATGGGGGGGTCACCTCAGCATGAGGGGGTCACCTCTCAGCATGGGGTCACCTCTCAGCATGAGGGGGTCACCTCAGCATGGGGGTCACCTCTCAGCATGGGGGGGTCACCTCAGCATGGGGGTCACCTCTCAGCATGGGGGGGTCACCTCAGCATGGGGGTTACCTCTCAGCATGGGGGGTCACCTCAGCATGGGGGGGTCATCTCAGCATGGGGGTTCACCTCTCAGCATGGGGGGTCATCTCAGCATGGGGAGGTCACCTCTCAGCATGGGGGTTCACCTCTCAGCATGGGGGGTCATCTCAGCATGGGGGGTGTCATCTCAGCATGGGGGTCACCTCTCAGCATGAGGGTCACCTTAGCATGGGGGGGTCACCTCTCAGCATGGGGGTCACCTTAGCATGGGGGTCACCTCTCAGCATGAGGGTCACCTTAGCATGGGGGGGTCACCTCTCAGCATGGGGTCACCGTCCCCTCCCGGCCGAGCCCTCAGCATGGGGTCACGGAGTGACAACGGAAGAAAGGCCGCAGGACCCCTGGGTGCCCCCACTCTTACATTTTGGTCCATCGGTAAGGAAAGTGCCAGTTTGGGACATGGCCTCGCTGCTGGAACAGGTTCACGGCACACTTCAGGAAGGATTAGTAGAGTTGCATTTTCTTTCTGTTTTCAGCAGTGCTGAATGTACTCAAGCCAGTTATGGAAAAATCTTACTAAAAATTAAACATGCTGCCACCCTAGTTACTCAGGAGGCTGATATCTGAGGACTGTTTGAAACTAGCCCAGGGAAGTAAGTCCATGAGACCCTTCTTACCTCTAATTAATCACCAAAAAGCTATGATTCAAGAGGTAGAACCCTACCTAGCCTTGACCAAAAAAAGTTCAGGAACAGCACGCCCAAGCCCTGATTCCAAAACGCACACACACACAAGAATAAACTTGAAGCCAGGTGCTGGTGACTTACGCCTGTAATCCTAGCTGCTCAGAAGGCAGAGATCTGAGGATGGCAGTTCAAAGCCAGCCTGGGCAGGAAAGTCCATGAGACTCTTATCTCCAGTAAACCAATAGAAAACCAGAAGTAGTGCTGTGGCTCAAGCCGGAGAGTGCTGGCCTTGAGCTGAAGAGTACAGGGACAGCGCCCAGGCCCAGAGTTCAGGCCCAGAGAAAATAAAATCCTATCCACCTAGGAAGCTGACATATGAGAATTGGTGTTCAAAAGTCAGACGTGGGGCTGGGAATGTGGCCTAGTGGTAGACTGCCTGCCTAGCATGCATACACAGAAAAATCTGGAAGTGGCGTTGTGGTTCAAGTGGTGAGTGCTATCCTTGAGCAAAAGAAGCTTGAGGATAGCTTGAGTTCATGCCCCAGGATGGGTTGGGGGGAGGAGGGGACGGGCAGGAGGGGCACAATGGATTGTGAAGAAAAGTCCCAACACTCTCATTTCCAATTAATCAGTGAAATGCTGGACTTTATGTGTGGCTCAAGTAGAAGATACGCAGCTGTTAGCGGAAAAAGCCAAGCACAAGCTCTGAATTCTAGTTGTGGTACCAGCACAGGAAGAAAATGTAAATGAGATTTTGTCCATGCTGCTGTTTGGGTTATTGTCCTGTTTATTGCGGAACTAAATGACAATAATGGTCAAAATGCTGAAAGGGTCAGGGCACAGGGATTGAGGGACCGCTGGAGACATGGTGGGCCTGCTTCTTGGTCAGTGAGGGGAGCTAGGACCCAAAGTCGGGGGACCCCATTTCCCTTCTTCACCCATGCTCCCTGTCTCCCTGTTCCTCACTGCTGCCACCCTACTCCAACTTCTAGAGGGCCTGAAAGGGAAATAGATAATGTGAGGTTCTTTCTGCAGGACCCCATTGATCATGGAGATCAAGCATTAAGCACCTCCAACTGCAGCTTCTTTCCAATGCCTGAACTTAGTTTTCATTTGCATATGGGTGGTCCCTGCAGTGAGCTCTGTCTGCAGAGGACATGGGGAGTGCTCTCAGGATTAATTTCCTCGTGGGGCTGCCAACTATACATTCATGTTCCCTTGGAAATTACATGTGAAATCCTAATCCACCAAAATGATAAAAGGTAGGACTTTCGTAAGATTATTGATGCACTTTTAAAAGGAACACTAGAGAGATGCTTTGCCTACCTACAAACAAGTACAAAGTAAGAACATGCTATTTCTGAGCCAGGGAACAGCCCTCTTCAGACACTGAATCTGCCATTTCATGATCATGGATTTACAACCTCCATAACTGGCAGTAAATTTCTGTTGTGTTTAAGCTACATTAGGTTTATTTTTGTTATAGCAGCCTGAGCAATCTAAGACAGCCAGTGTTAAGTGAGCAACCAGAAAATAGAAAAGCTTCCCAAAAAAGATGATCCTTGACAGGGATTGTGAACCAGCCCGAAGGCTCTCACCAGACACAGCTGGTGCCAATGAGCACCCGACAGTTGCTAATAGTTCTGGAATATGGCCAGAGCCACATACCACATAGGAGTTCACATAGGAATGAGAGTGAGTACTTCATCAAGTAAGGGGAAAACAGGACAGTTCTTCCTTAGAGTGGAATTCCAGTAATCAGCATTAGTGGCTGAGTCACTGGCAGTTGTGAAAAGTAGTCAGCAAATTTGACATGAACAGGATTTGCCTGGTCTCCCCTAAAATACTTACATTCACTTTATGCTACTATGGTAACTAATTACTTCAAATCTTGTGGCTTAAAAAAAGTTTTTAACCAGTTTTGGTGGCTGATACCTATGATACCAGCGTAGGCTTACCATCTATTCAAAATACCAGAATAATAGGTGGCCTGTAACACTTCACTTTGCCAGAAATGCCTTTCAGTTCTTATCTCCATATATCCATGAAGAATTCTTAACATCCCAATGGAGAAAATACAAATCGCCCCTTATTGTCCTTTTTTTTGTTTTTGTCAGTCATGGGGCTTGAACTCTGGGCTTAGGCGCTGTCCCTCAGCTCTTCAGCTGAAGGAAAGCACTCTACTGCTTGAGCCACAGTGCCACTTCTGGTTTTCTAGTGGTTTTTATTGGAGATCCGAGTCTCACAGATGTTCCTGCCCAGGCTGGCTTTGAACCAAGATCCTCAGATCTCAGCCTCCTCAGTAGCTGGGATTACAGGCGTGAGCCACCAGCACCCAGGTTGTTGTCCATTTTTGTAACTTAACTAGCTGCTGTAATTCTTCCACTTGTCTGCTTCTAGTGGCAGTCTGTCCCTTAATATTTATTGATTTTAGTTTCCCAGTCTCATCTACATTGCCTCAAAAGAATGTGGAATTGCCACCATTTGGGAAGATGACATGAAATAAGATGCTGGAAACAGAAAATCTCGGGGCTGGGAAGGTGGCTCAGTGGTAGAACGCTTGCCTTGCATGCATGAAGTCCTGGGTTTGATTCCTCAGCACCACATAAGCAAAAAGAAAAAAACTGGAAGTGGCGCTGTGGCTCAAGTGGTAGAGTGCTAGCCTTGAGCTGAAGAGCTGAGGGACAGCATCCAAGCCCAGAGTTCAGGCCCCACAACCGGACCCAAGAAAAAAAAAAGAAAAAGAAAATCTTTTTTAGTCTTCAGTTAATATAGTGTCAGGATTATTTTCTGGTATAACAACTGGATTGGGCACATGTAGGATGCCTACATTAGGGAAGACTGTGAAGTATATGTAGAAACTCTTATTTTTAAAACTGTTTATATGTTTGAAATTAGTGCATGATGAGAAGGTTTTTCTTTGTTGTTGTTTTCCAGTCCTGGGGCTTGAACTCAGGGTCTGGCACTGTCCTTGAGCTGCTTTTGCAGTGCTCAAGGCTAGCACTCTACCACTTGAGCCACAGTGCCACTTCCAGATTTTTCTGTGTATGTGGTACCAAGGAATTGAGCCCAGGCTTCATGCATGCTAGGCAAGCACTCTACCATTAAGCCACATTCCCAGCCCCAAAAGTTATTTTCTGGCTTTTTGGTGATACGGATTAAACTAAAGGCTGGTCACAGGTCAAACATTTGATCTACTCCTGAACTACACTCCAAAAACCAGTAACCACTGGAGCCAGGCAATAGTTTCAGGTAAATAAGAGAAATCCGCAGGGGGGAGTCAGCAAAGCTTGTCAGCTGATAAGCACTGGGAATTGTGAAGGAGTGATTCCAGAGGCGGTGGTAGAGACACGCACCTGATGTCGGCCTGGAGTGTACGGACGCGCTCACAGTGTGCTCAGTTCCCTGACCCATGGGGAGCTCAGAGTACACGGAACAAAGCAGTCATTTCTAAAAACACTGGTGTTTTCTCTGTTCATTCGGGTATCAGCACAGGAGAGCTGCCACATGGGAGAAATCTCTGGGTCGCACAAAAGCGCCATGTTGGGTTCCCGCCTGGCTTCTTGTTCACTCTGGGGTCTGTCTTGTGGAAACAGGAAGAGGGGTGGTGGGTGCCGACACAGGTCCCGAGCCCACTCACACCCCCGCTAGGAGCTCCCGCACAGAGGCCCCGCAGTGTTGTGTGATGAGGCTGAGGACCGGCGATCGTGAAGGGGCACGTGCTCCTCACTTCACACCCAGCAGCCCGCAGGGTCCCGCTCAGGCCCGGGCCGCGGCTGCAGGGGGCTGTGTGGGGAAGAGGCAGCTGACACCGCCTGGAAAGCGCAGGACCGAGGCACGGTGCGTCCCGGCCCCCGCACGGCGCCACGGCGCAGCCGCTTCCCGAGCCGCGCGGCGCAGCGCGCAGGTGCGCTCACGGCGCCCGCACAGGCCCGGAGGACCCCCGTTAGCACGTCCAAGGCCGCCCGGCCCCAGCCAGCCGCGGGCCGGCACCCGCCGTCCCGCAGGAGGGCCCCAGACACGAGCACGACTCCTCTCCGGGCCACTTCCACTAGCTTTATTAAGGTTGCCAACACATCCACTAAGAGGGCCGGCCACGCCCGGCCTGGCGTCGGACCCCTCCGGGGCCGCGGCCGGGGACACTACGAGGGCGCGGGGGGCCGCTGGAAGCGGGGGGTGCGGAGGACAGGGCGGGAGAGGAACCGAGGGCGCGTGCGCACAGCTGGGCGGGCGGCCGCGGGCGCGCGCCTCAGCCCGACCTCTCCTCCCGCTGCTCCTTGTTCCTGCGCACCTCGGCCGCGTGCAGCTCCTGCGACGAGGGACGGGCTTGAGACGGGCCTGGGCCGGGCCGCGGCCTCCCGACTCCCCACCGGAGAGAGGGCGCCCCTTCCCGGAGCTGGACTTCAGCGCCAGCTCGCCCACGCCGGGTCCCACTAGGCCCGGTTCTGGACCGGCGTGCGCTTCCGCAGTGCCCGACAGAAGGGAAGAAGAGGCCCCTACCGTGAGGCGCGGTGCGGCGCGGTCCGCCCTGCCGGGCCCTCAAGCTCCGCCACTGACCTGCTCACTGACTACCAGACTCCCCGCGGAGCAGCAGGCCCCGCCCCTCAAGCCCCGCCCCGGGCCCCGCCCCTCAAGCCCCGCCCCGGGCCCCGCCCCTCAAGCCCGCCCCGGGCCCCGCCCCTCAAGTTCCGCCCACGGAGTGCCAGGCTCCGCCCCGCGGCGCGCCAGCTCAGGCCCCGCCCACCTTCTCCCGTAGCCGCTCGCGCAGCGCCGCCAGGTGCGCCTCGCGGATCTCCTTGCTGAGCTCCATCTTGTAGTTGAGCTTCTCTTCTGCCTGGCGACTGAAGTTGTTGTTCTCCTCCAGCGCCTTGTGCAGCACCTCGCGCTCGTGCTCACGCCGCTCCGCCAGGTGCTTCAGCACCTGTGCCTCCTGAGTCTGCGCGGGGGGCCGGGGCGGAGGCTCAGACCTGCCCTCCCGGGAACCCCGCCTCCCGGGACCCCCCCCCCCCGCCCTTCTGGGACTCCCCCCCCTCCCGCCCTCCCGGGACTCCCCCCGCCCTTCTGGGACTCCCCCCCGGACTCCCCCGCCCCCCCCGGGACTCCCCCGCCCTCCCGGGACTCCCCCCATCCCGCCCTCCCGGGGCCCCCCCCCCGCCCTTCTGGGACTCCCCCCCGGACTCCCCCGCCCCCCCCGGGACTCCCCCGCCCTCCCGGGACTCCCCCCATCCCGCCCTCCCGGGGCCCCCCCCCCGCCCTTCTGGGACTCCCCCCCCCGGACTCCCCCGCCCTCCCGGGACTCCCCCCTCCCGCCCCCCCCGGGACTCCCCCGCCCTCCCGGGACTCCCCCCTCCCGCCCCCCCCGGGACTCCCCCGCCCTCCCGGGACTCCCCCCCCTCCCAGGACTCCTCTCCCCCGGGACTCCCCCCCCCTCCCGCCCTCCCGGGGCCCCCCCCCGCCCTTCTGGGACTCCCCCCCCGACTCCCCCGCCCTCCCGGGACTCCCCCCTCCCGCCCCCCCCGGGACTCCCCCGCCCTCCCGGGACTCCCCCCCTCCCAGGACTCCTCTCCCCCGGGACTCTCCCCCCTCCCGCCCTCCCAGGACCCCGCCGACAGCCCAGCCCCGCACCGCCTGGGCTCGGGCTGGCTCGTCTCCGCCCCTCCCCGCGAGCGCCCCGCAGCGCGGCTGCCCCGGCCCGATGCCCGAGGTGCGGTCCCGGGGTGCGGGGTGCGGGCAGAGCTGCCGGCGCCACAGTCTCGCCCCGCTGGGGAAGGGCTGCGTGTGGCTCCCCGCACCCCTGCCCCGGGCTCCCGCTGTGGAGCTGGCTGGGAGGAGGGGGCGGAGGGGACGGAGCCCACACCGCCTTCCCGGGAACCCCCGCCTGACACCCCGTCGTCCACCCCCCCCCCCCCCGTGTGTGGTTCCGCCTCCCGCTGGCCGGCACCCGCCCCTCCTCGGATCCCCGGGTCACCGCCCTGCCCCTTCCGGCTCCGGGCCTGGGGCCTCCTCCGCCAGAACTCCTGCCGGGGTTGCTTGCCTTCCTCCGCTCCTCGGCGGCCTCCAGCCTCTTCTGCAGCTCTTCCAGGGAGGCATCCTTCCTCTTGGGGGGAGAGGAAAGCACAGGGCTCTCCGGGGACAGGTCAGAAGGTGACTTGAGGATGACCTCAAAGCTCTGACCAGAAGCTCGCTTGTCCAGCTGCTTCACCTCCATGTCTGCAGAGCAAGACCAGATGGGAGGTTCAGAAGGCCGGAGACAGGGACAGGGTAAGGGGCACGCCCCCCCACAAACCCCAGTCAAAGGCTGAGGGAGGGGTGCAGCTGCTTGACACCCCCTCCCAGAAGCACCCTCTGCAGAAGTCACCAGGGCATAGGAGTCAGAAGGGCCACAGAAGCAGGAGAAGGCGGGCGGGCAGTACCCAGCTGGGTAGGGCCAGCAGCAGAGTGGGCACACTTACCCCCATACTGGTAGATGGTGTTGGGGTGAGGCTGTGAGTAGAAGCAGGAGCAGATTAGTGACAGCACGGACAGCTCCTTCATCTTCTCCTTGTAGGCTGTGGGTGTGAGGCCAGGGTGAGCAGGGGCCATCACCTACTGACCCTGTACCTGAGGTCTGCCTCTCAGAGTCCCACTGCTGCCTCTGGAATTTGAGTCTGGCAGTGCCTCTCTGCATGGTGCTCAAACTCAGGTTCTGCGTGCTATGAATTTTTTTTGCTCAAGGCTAGTGCTCTACCACTTGGTGGTTCAATGGATATGTGTCTTAGAGACTTTTTTTGGTGTGGGGGGGGGTCCGGTTGTGGGTCTTGAACCCTGGGCCTGGGCGCTGTCCCTCAGCTCTTCAACTCAAGGCAAGTGCTCTACCAGTTGAGCCACAGCGCCACTTCTGTTTTTCTGATAGTTAATTGGAGATAAGAGTCTCACGGACTTTGCTGCCTGGGCTGGCTTTGAACCGTGATCCTCAGATCTCAGCCTCCTGAGTAGCTAGGATGACAGGCGAGAGCCCCCAGCGCCCTCCCCTTCCATCTCTCCACTCCAGTGGTTTTCTCCTTGGCTTTTCCATTGCATTCTCCTGCATCTCTGTTTGTTTTGAGACAGTGTTGCCATATAGCTGGGGGTGGCCTCACACTCTGAATCCTTCCGCCTGCGCCTTCAGAACACTAGTGTTCTGCACACTAGTGGGCTTGTTCTACCATGCCCAACTTGTGTCTTCTCCCTGCCTGTAGTTGTGTTTATGTTCTACCAAAATTCACATACTGGAATCCTAACCTCCTCACCACAGTGCTGGGAAGTAAGACCTTTGGAAGATGAGGTGGTGATGACCATGGAGCACTGCTGGATAGGATGTGTGCTCTTACGGCACAGGGTCCAGAGTGCTCCCTCAGCCCTTCCAGTGTGTGAGGACACAGGAAGAAGGAAGCATCTATGAACCAGAAAGCAGTTCTCACCAGAAAACCAAGTGGTACCCTGACCATGATGGTCTCATCGCTCCTCATTTATTCTGTGAGGAATGAATGTGTGCTGCCCGGGAGCCAGCAGCCTTGGGTGTTTTGCTGTGTCAGTCTGGACACACTAGGACACTTTTTGTTCTGTATGTGATCATGGGGCTTGATCTCAGGACACTATTCCTGAGCTTTTTTGCTCTAGGCTGGTACTCTACCAGTTCAGCCACAGCTCCACTTCTGGCTTTTTAGTAGTTTAAGTTTTTGGAGATGAGAGTCTCACAGACTTTCCTGCCTGGTCTAGTTTTTAGTCAAGATCCTCGGATCTCAACCTCCTGAGTAGCTAGGAGTACAGGCCTCAGCCACAAGTGCCCAATGTCCAGACTAAGGCACTTGTATCTGTCTTTCTGCCTTCCTGAGTCGACCTGCCATTGTGCTTATAGCCTTGTTTATCTCTGGCCACAACCCCTCTGTGTGGTCTAGTCTTCTGGTTGTCTTTCTCTACAATTCTGTGTCACTTCTCTCTGTGGCTTGTATGTCCCCATTACAACCTTCCCTCTCCCTTCCCAACAGACAAAATTATCCATCGCTTTCATGACTAGGGCCACCACCCATGTAAACAGTATCCTCACCTCCTCTCCTGTTCTTCCTCTTAGCCTGCTGTGTTTCTTGCTTTGTTGCCCAGTCTGAGCTTGAAATTTTGTTTCAATCGATCCTTTCTAGGTATCCCAAATAGCAAAAGCTACCAACATGTACATCTGTGCTTAAATGGGCAGTCCCTTTTGAGCTGTAAGTCTGACTGAAGCCCTCAGTCCTCCCTGATTTCCCCAGGGATAGGATAGCTACTGAGAGACAAAGCCAGGCCTTTGCCCTTCCATGTAGGCTTGGGCCCCAGGTGCCATCAAGGACAACGAAGGGATCCATCTATTCAGCACCACAGCCCACATCTTGCCCTTCTAGATCAAGTGCCTACCAGCCAGTGTTCCTGCTTGAGTCCAAGCAGAAAAAGAGATGAACCTGGCAATGATATCCCTGACCTCATGTCAGAGAAGATGTCTCCTGCTCGAGGATTAATCTGGCTGTTCATGGTTCATTCTCTGTGAGCCAACTCAAAAGCTTAGGCATGTGGCCCATTGTTTCAGCAACGCCCAAGAATTCTGTAAGCTACCCTGTTCCATAGGGGAGACAGTGGGGCCCGGCTTACAGGGAAACATGAGGAGCATTCCTCAAAGGACCGTTCCAGATGGTCTATGTTCCTTCCATCAGGCTAGCAGCTTCCAAAAACTAGAAGACTCTAAGACCCAGGCAGCAACCTCCTGGGCTGAAGATAAGCTTTTTTTTTTTTTAAAAAACTCTGAGTCTGGACACTGTCCCTCAGCTCTTCAGCTCAAGGCAAGCCCTCTACCACTTGAGCCACAGCGCCATTCCTGGTTTTCTGGTGGCTTACTGAAGATAAGTTTCACGGACTTTCCTGCCCAAGCTGGCTCAGCCTCCTGTGTGTGAGCCACCATTGCCCAGCTGAAGATAAGCCTTCTTACATTGGAAGAAGGAATCCAGTTGCTGTGTACAGTTATCTACCCGTGTCTTTTGAAAAGACAGATAAGAATTTGCACAAGCATTTAGATGGACAAGAAACTTTCTGGTCACATTTCACACAGACGATGTTTTTAAACTGTGTTGATGTGGAATTGGGAAAACTGTTAGTGTAGAAAGAAGACACAGAAGAAATGATCAAACACTTTGTGATGAACTGGATCTTTCCACAACCTTTCTGCAAGTGTTTATATTTGATCTAATTTCCTGCTGACCTGGACTAATTTGAAAGCAACACAGAGCCAAGAGGCTTTCACGGAGCAGAAAGGAATCCCAGGGAAGACCAGAACCAAGGAGAGGTTCTGAGGGGAAGAAGCCACATCTTGCTCATTGTCGTCAAGAGGGTTCAAAGAGAAATGGAGAGAGGGTCAGGAGAGGAACAGGCCTCAAAGAGCTTTGGCTTGAATTGTGGTTTTATTCTTTCAAAAGCAAAATCTACTCGTGTACTATTTGTGTTATTGAAGCAAATTCAACAAGGGAAGCAGAAGCCCTGTTTACAGGCAGCATCCGGTCAAAAGACTTGGGGGCATCCAGCCCTGTGCTCAGGGTAAGAGAGGAGGGGCGGGTAAGAGAGCCTCTGGGCTGGAGCAAGGATGAACCTGCATCCAAGGAGAGGCCAGGCAGGCTTGACTCAGCCCCCGCCTTCCTGTTAACAGACTCCGGAACGATCTCTCAGATCATTCTTCCTCTTCACGCATCCAAAACCCCAAATGGATTGTCTTACGGGCCAGTACTTGGGGCTGGATATCTTCTCGGAGGTCCTCCGCTTGTGCCTGAAAGGAAAAGGGGCTGCAGCGGGCTGCAGACAGGGAGCAGCTTAAGGACCTGGTAGCTGTCACCTGCTCCTGGGGCAGGCCCTCGGGGTCAGGGAGGCCAGCTGGCTGGCCATGAGCCCTGCGCCGTCGGGAGAGCTGCAGAGAAGGCCTGGGGGCCGGTGCGCGGCCGCGGTCGGGGGAGGGAGGAGGAGCTACAGACGTGCCCCTGCGGAGCTTCCTTCCCGGAAGACGGGCCCTCGAGGAGCCAACGGACCGGAAGAGGACGGGCGTGGACCGACCCTGTGGGGAGCGGAGCCGGCTTCGGGGCGGGGAGCTGGCCCGCAGCCAGCCCGGCGGGGTAGAGAAGGCGTCCCGGGCCGAGACTGGAGCCTAGGCGCGCGGCGCGGGTCCCCGCCGCCCGAGATCTGGGGATGCGCGGGAGGCCGGGAGGCGCGGAGAGCAGGGTGGGCCAAGAAGCCACGCACGGGGAGCTTCCCGAGGGCGCGGGAGGGCCGGGGACCCTCAGCCGGGCGCGCCAGTCACCTCCTCGCCAAACCCGGCTCCGGGGGCGCGGGGAGACCGCGGCGGGAGCTGCCGCGGCGGAGCTTGGTGGTGCGCCCGCGGGGTGCGGGATACGTGCTGCGGGGCGGAGGCGGTGGCCGGGACAGACGCCCGCACACACAGGTGCTGGGGGAAAAAGGAGCCGCCGGGTGGGGCGTGGCGAGGGCGGAGCCGCCGGGTGGGCGTGGCGAGCGCGGAGCCGCCGGGTGGGCGTGGCGAGGGCGGGGCCGCTGGGTGGGGCGTGGCGAGCGCCGGGTGGGCGTGGCGAGCGGGGGCCGCCGGGTGGGGCGTGGCGAGGGCGGGGCCGCGGGGTGGGGCGTGGCGAGGGCGGGGCCGCGGGGTGGGGCGTGGCGAGCGTCGGGTGGGCGTGGCGAGGGCGGAGCCGCCGGGTGGGCGCGGCGAGCGCGGAGCCGCCGGGTGGGGCTGGGAGCGTGGCGGAGCTCTCCAGCGTCCGGGCCGCTCTCGGGCAGGAGGGCTCCCTGGGAAGGTTCGGGAATGAACCCTGCACCCCGGCCGCTGACCCCGGAGCCGCGGTGCGAATGGCGGCGCGCCAGACGGGCGCCGCGCTCGGTCCTGCTCGCCCTGCGATTCCGCCTCGCCCTCTCCGGGCTCCTCCGTACTTCCCTCGCCCCCTCCTGCAGAGGGCCCCGCCCTTTCTACTAACGCCCCGCGGGCACACGCACGGCGGGCACGCACCCCGCGGCACACGCACGGCGGGCACACACACACCCCGCAGGCACGCACCCCGCGGCACACGCACGGCGGCCACACACCCCGCAGGCACGCACCCCGCAGACACACATGGCGGGCACGCACGGCGGGCACACACCCCGCAGGCACATGCACGGCGGGCACACACCCCGCGGGCACACGCACGGCGGGCACACCCCGCAGGCACACACCCCGCGGGCACACGCACGGCGGGCACACACCCCACAGACACGCACGGCGGGCACACACCCCTTGGGCATACACCCGCAGACACACGCACGGCGGGCACACACCCCCGCGGGCACACGCACGGCCGGCACACACCCCGCGGGCACGGGCGCGCTCCCGGAGCCTCGGCCCGCGCCAGGTCTGCGGTCCCTGCGGCAGGAACTCACCCCCCCCCCCGCGCCTGCATCACGCACCGCAGGGCCCGCGCCCCGCTCGGCGGGCGCTGCGGGCCCGGCCCGGCCACCCCCGGGCCCCGGCGCCCCCGGCCTCCCGACCCGCGGCCCCCCTTTGGACCCGGGGCCCGGCTCCTACCCGACACGGTGCTGGCCATGGTGCTGGCGGCGGCCGGGGCTCGGAGGCCGGAGAGACGCGGGCGGCGGCTGGAGCTGCAGTCAGCGAATGCGGCAGTGCCGGGCGGGCGGGAGCGGGAGGGAGCGAGGGCGCGCGCGCGGGGCGGGAGGACGAGAGGAGCGAGGGATGGAGAAAGCAGAGGGAGGGAGGGAGGCTGCAGAGAGGATGGACGGAAGGACAGAGAGGATGGAGGGAGGAGAGGGGGGAGCGAGGGGGAGAGAGGAGAGGATTGGATTGGCAGGGAGGCGGCCAGGAAAGATGGAGGGGGGTGGGGGAAGGAGGGGGGAAGAAGGGGGAGGAGGGGGGAAGAAAGGGGAGGAGGAGGGGAGGCGGCAGGGCTGCCTCAAGCCCCCAGTCTCCACCCACCACCGTGTGTGGTTTGGGAGGGTGTGGGGGTGACCCTGCCCCCGTGGGCCTGGCAGAGCCGGGGCGTAGCTGAGCCCGAAGAGGCTGCAGAGGCTGGAACACACGGATTTATGGGCCAAGAAGGCGGGCACCGGCATGGAAGGGCTCCTAGGAGCATCTCCGTGCCCAGGAGGTAGAAAGGGTCTGCGTAGAGAAAGGAACGTGGGGTGGTGAGGTGAGAATGAGACAGGTTCCAACCCTAGTTCTGACATTTTGTTTTCTGACTCCTCTGGGCTTTATTTCTTGGTATGAGAGGAAACCAGGATACCAGACCCCAGCAGGTGGAGAAGGGTGTGCAAGCGCTGAATGTGTGCTTCCTGGAAGGCAGGGGCAACCTCACCCGTTTCCTCTGAAGCCAAGAGAGAAGGGTTTGCTCTACAAGCTATTCACTCCTAGATGTGTGAGGAAATGAGACAGGTCAGAAAGGTGAAAGTCAGGGATGAGCCTAACCCTAAGGGTGCCTGGGTCACCAGGCTTGCAAACTCTTCTGCCTCCATTCATACCTGGTCTGGGACTGTGGATCCAATGCTTACAGAAAACCTTCAGAAGGAATTTCACCCAATGGGTCTGACCTAATTACAGAAGCTCTTTATTTTTTTGGGGGGGGGGGGTCCGGTCGTGGGCCTGAACTCTGGGCCTGGGCGCTGTCCCTCAGCTCTTCAGCTCAAGGCTAGCACTCTACCACTTGAGCCACAGTGCCACTTCCGGCTTTTTTTCTTTTTTGCTTATGTGGTGCTGAGGAATTGAACCCAGGGCCTCATGCAAGGCAAGCACTCTACCACTGAGCCACCTTCCCACCCCCTACAGAAGCTCTTTAAAAGGGCTGAGAATGTGGCTTAGTAGTAGAATGCTTGCAAGCCTAGCATGCATGAAGCCCTGGGTTCAATTCTTCAGCACCATATAAACAGAAAAGGCCAGAAGTGGTGCTGTGGCTCAAGTGGTAGAGTGCTAGCCTTGAATAAAGAAGCTCAGGGCAGTGCCTAAGCCCTGAATTCAAGCCCTAGGACTGACAAAAGAAAGAAAGAAAAGCAGTGCTTCCCCTGAAGGTTGGAAAAGTCCAAGGGATTTGAAACAAGAAAGGTCCTCGGCTCCTGAGATGGAGGGGCCAAGTGGAAGGAACATAAGAGGTGCTTCCAACATGCAGTTAGCAAGACCTCAGTGCTACATTCACAGGGAGTGAATTCTGCCACCATGAATGAACTTGAGAACAGGTTTGTCTGAAGAGCTTCCAGACAGAACTCACCTTAGCTGACAACCTCATTGCAGCCTTTGATTGCCAAGAGCTGTGCACTAATTCATAAGAGTTGTCTCAAACTGCTGAGTGGTACCAATCTGTTATAGATACACAAACTTATAAAACTAATGCACATACACAGAGCAGTTGTGTGTGTGCATCCTTCATTGGAACTTAGCCTTGGTAGGGATCTGGGAGATAGAAGGAGCACACAAAGCTTCTAATTGGTGGTAGCCCCAGCACAAACAGCCATTTCCTCAGGTTGAGCCACTGCAGCTGGAGCTGTTATGATTCATGTGGTTTGTATGAGGTCAGTGCAGGCCCTTGAACTCAGGCTCTCAGATCAGCAGGTGTAACCCTCTCTGATCTTCCAGTCTCTTGGATTCGACAGGTACAGGGGCCCGTGCCTGTCCTGTCTTGGGCCTGTGGATTCTTGTCTGGACCCTTGGGATCAACCTTGTCAGCAGCTCTTGGCACAGTGGTGGGCACACATTTGGTGCATCTGCTATGTCCAGGTTTTGACTTCTCACCATGTCAATTGCAGAAGTTCATGAGCAGCTGATTCAAATATATTTTTCCTGAACTGTGAGTTTATCAATCAGACCCCCACACTGGTCTTCTAAAATTAACCCTGCCCCCACAGGGGCAGCCTTGCACCTTAGAAGGGCAATTAATCATCCATCCAGCTGACATCTATGGAGCACGCAGTAAGACAAGATTAGAATACAGAAGTCCTAGCAGTCCTAGTAGAAACTGGCAATGAGCAGATCCCTGAAGCCAGATGTGGGTTTCCTTCCATTCCAGTTCTCTCCTTTCACCGACTTCAAAGCAGATGCCATCTCACATCTAGATGGATGGAACGGGGCCTTTTAGACTTGACTCCCCTCTTACTGGCTCCTTTGAGTCCTCATGCCCTCGAGGGTCTTTTGCTTTGCAGTCACATCTCAAATTTTCCAGTGTCAACATGACTTTCACACTGTTTCCAGACCACAGCTCAGCCTCTTCTGGCCTCTAGTCAAAGCAGCCCCATTTCCCTTCCTGGCACTCATTACACAATCCCATGTGGGACTGTGTCATGTCAATCAATCCTGTGGGTCAGATGGACTATGTCCACTTAGAGAGCTTCTCTTTCCTGTGGGAGCAGACAACTCCAGTTTGCTGATTTGGTGGAGGTCCTTTTGCCTGCTGCAGTCAAATTTGGGTTCTGCACCCCCAGTCTCTTAGGGGTTTTTTTTCAGGGGGGGGGTCTGGTCATGGGGCTTGAACTCTGGGCCTGGGCGCTGTCCCTCAGCTCTTCAGCCCAAGGCTAGCACTCTACCACTTGAGCCACAGTGCCACCTCTGGCTTTTTTTTTTCCTGCTTATGTGGTGCTGAGGAATCGAACCCAGGGCCTCATGCATGCAAGGCAAGCACTTTACCACTGAGCCACCTTCCCAGCCCCTTAGGTTAAGTTTTATGTGCTATAATTCACTGGCCTTGTGCAGGCTGCCTACCTATGTTGTGGGGCCAGAGTTGACTGAAGCAGCTAGCCAATCAGCTCATGGGCTTTGAGTCTTCAGGAAATAGTTGGGTCTCTGGGTTTGCCTGAAGAATCTCCGGACAGAACTCAGCTTAGCTGACAACTTCTTCATACTTCCCAGGGGACCAAATGTCCCCCAGGAATGATGGGCATCAAGGTAAAGGGTGGGATTTTTTTGGGGGGGGTCAATCATGGGCTTGAACTCTGGGCCTGGGTGCTGTCCCTGGGCTCTTCAGCTCAAGGCTAGTGCTTCACCACTTGAGCCACAGTGCCACTTTCTGGTGGATTTATTGGAGATAAAAGTCTCATGGAGGGGGGCTGGGAAGATGGCTCAGTGGTAGAGCGCTTGCCTTGCATGCCTGAGGCCCTGGGTTCGATTCCTCAGCAACACATAAGCAAAAAGAAAAAAGCCGGAAAAGAAGCTGGAACAAGCAGGGATAAAGAGAGGGGGTGGTAAGGACTCTCGGGCACTGGTCTTGAGCAAGGGACACTCATTGCAGGTTTTATGGTGGGCTTGTAAGTGGCAAGTTAAAAGATGCTTTTGCTTGGGCTGAGAATGTGGCTTAGTGATAGAGTGTTTCCTAGCCTGCATGAAGCCCTGGGTTTGATTCCTCCGTACCACACACAGAAAAAGCTGGAAGTGGCAGTGGTGCGGTGGCTCAAGTGGTAAGTGTGCTGAGCAAAAGAGGCTCAGGGACAGTACCTTGAGTTCAAGCCCCTGGACTGGAGAGAGAGAGAGACAGAGAGGCAGAGATGCTTTTGCTGGGCCATGTGAATTCCCCCCTCCCCCCCATTTTGTATCTGTGCCCTTTGGTCTGAGTCAGTCATCTTGGGCTACGGGATAGCGAAGATTCACAAATACCTTGTGTGGAAGGTACTTGTCTCCAACAGGCACGCTTTCACATCTCAAGAGGTCATTCCCCAGATAACTTGCTCCGGAACATCCACACAACTTCCCCAGAGACTGAGGCTGAGCTCGCGGCCTAGCAGCCACACCTTACTTGGTACTGCTTCTTGTCGTCGTTTACCTTTCTCTCCCTATTCAACCTAGCCAGGGCCCTGCCCCGAGGGCAGCAGGAGGCGCGCGGCAGCGCCTCCCTGCGGGGTGCAGGCCTCTGCACGGGTCCAGCCTGGCCTCTGCACTTTGGGGGGGGGGGGTGGTGCGGGCCTCTGCACGGGTCCAGCCTGGCCTCTGCACTTTGGGGGGGGGGTGCGGGCCTCTACCCGGGCCCAGCCTGGCCTCTGCACTTTGGGGGGGGAGGGGGTGCGGGCCAAGGCCGGGGCCCAGCCTGGCCTCTGCACTTTGGGGGGGGGGGTGCGGGCCTCTACCCGGCCCAGCCTGGCCTCTGCACTTTGGGGGGGGGTGCGGGCCTCTACCCGGCCCAGCCTGGCCTCTGCACTTTGGGGGGGGGTGCGGGCCTCTACCCGGCCCAGCCTGGCCTCTGCACTTTGGGGGGGGGGTGCGGGCCAGCCTGGCCTCTGCACTTTGGGAGGGGGTGCGGGCCTCTGCCCGGCCCAGCCTGGCCTCTGCACTTTGGGCGGGCTCAAACAGTCGCGCTCAGACTCGGACTTCAGCAGCAAAAGACGCCCCCGGCGGAGGCGGGAAGCCGCGCGTGCGCGCGGGGAGCGGCGCCGGCCTGGCCCGGGGGCAGGGCCGAGACACCGGACGTGACGCCGGAGTGTGACGTAGGGAGTGTGTGACGCGGGGGCGGTGCGCCCAGAGACCCCGAGAGGCTCCGCACCCTGGCCGGGCCGCGCGGCCCCGGAACGGTTTCCTCCGGGGGCGTTAAGCGGCAGACCGGAAGTGGGGCCGGAAGTACCCGGCGGACCGCAGCAAGTGAGCACCGCGGCCCGCCAAGTCCGAATTTGCAGACGGCGCGGGACGCGG